GAGAGAGAGAGAGAGAGAGAGAGAGAGAGAGAGAGAATATGATCCAGTGGCCACCATGTGGTAAGCCCTAAAACAAATAATTGACAGATGAATGAATTAACAGGACTTTGAAGTCAAGCAGGCCCAGTTTTGTCATTTGTTAGTTATATGATCTTAGACTATGCACTTCTCTCTACAGATTCACCTTCTGTATTAGTCACTTCCCCATCCCTGGGACAAAATACCTGACACCTGCAACTTAAAGGAGAGGTTTAGTTTGATTCATAGTTTTGATGGGTTCAGTCCATGGTTAGCAGGCTCTGAGGCAGAATCTGGAAGAGGAAAGCTGCTCACCTCATGGCAGCCAGGAAGCAGACAGACCTAGAGAGAAGGGAGAGCCAGGAACAAGAATCCACACTTCAGGTCATGCCTCCAGGGGCCCACCTCTTCCAGTCAGGCCCTACCTGAGAACACTGAGATGTTGGGGACATTTTAGGTTTAAACCATAGTACCTTCTTTCTCTAAAAAATGGGTTAAATGAACAGAGACATCAATAGGTGCTCAAAGATGAGAAAACTGTAGCATAGGTGTGATGAGATCAGGATGCCCACCTGCAGACTTGTTATGAGGGTTGCATGAAATGAGGAACAAGCAGGACAGTCTGCTGGCTTTAGGGCTTTGGTGGGGGAAATTGGGCCAGGGCTGACTTTGAAGCAGCTGCATGCCAGCTGTTGGTTCCTGGCACTGGCACTGGGGAGGAACTCTCCAAGTGGATTCTCTGGGGGCCATTGCCCAAGCAGCTGTGTCATTTCCATGGAGCCCAGTCCATGTTGGGACCAAACAGAGAATTTGCCTTTTCATACAGCTTTTGGTCTTCGAGGGTAGAGCCTGGGCTATCCGATAAGCCATGTCCCTGAAGAGGGACCCAAAGCCCATAAGAAGCAACACTTAGCACAGATGAGCTGGCCGACAGATGAGCTCCATCTGGGTGACCTGCTATTGACCTTGTTAAATTCATTGTCACCGTCGCCATGGATGGGGGCCAGAAGCAGAAAACTTTACCTCCTCCGCACGACATTTCATCTACCCAGTTTCCTTGCATGATATGTGTGAGCAACCCCATTTTACAGATGAAGAAACTGAGACTGTGCACAACTAGTAAGTAATAGGATGACAAAGTGAGGGCTTGAATTTAAGTATCTGACTCTGGGCCCTAGGATTCTAACCACTAGTCACATGACCTACCAACCCATGGACATAAAGCTGTCTGGAGAAGCTAGAACGTGCCTTGATGCCTGGAATGACTGTCTCTTCCCACCTGAATCTACCTGTGAGTCAGAAACTGGGGATTGCTTGGGGCCAGACCTCCAGAGACCCTTCTGCCTGTTCATCAGTACTTAAAGCCCAGGTGCTTACGTCTTCCCAGAAAGTATTGCACCCTCTCAGCACCTGCCATGTTTATCAGGGATCTCGCTTGTGTTGGGCCTTGTGCTAGCTACTGGGAATTACCGAGCTAGATATCATTCACAGAGAAAAATCAGTGCACCTAAGCCTTACTGTATGCTTTGAGGCACTGTTCATGGGTTAGCTCATTTAATTCTCTCAACAACCCCATAGTAACTGTTATTATCTTCTCTTTATCGATGAAAAAATTAAGGTACAGAGAGGTTAAGCAATTTTCTCAAAGTCCCACCGTTACTAAGTGTCAGTGCCAGGATTTGAACCCCAGCAGTTTGAGATCAGAATTATATGTTCAGCTGCCCGTCCACTGTTATGACTCTCTAGTCCCTGCCCTCATGGAACTTAGAGTCTTTCTTTTGTTCTCTTTTTCTTTCCTTTTTTATTAGTGTATATTTTTAATACAGAATGATTTTCATTTTAGGGGACTGGTACATGCATATAACATATCTTGATCGCTTTCCCAGTTCCTTTACTCCTTCTCTCTTTTCTCCACCCTCCCCTTCAGCCCCTTTCCCAAGATTCTATCTTTTAAAACAGGGAGGTTAAAATAATACCAACAGTATTTTAAGCCCATTTTATTTACTGAGAAGCAACTGGGCAGTGAGAATGTTTATAAAGTACTTGACAGCATCCAGCCGGAAGCAAAGAATCAAGGTCATAGATGGAATTTTGGATCATGGTATACCACAGGGTCAAACTACTGTGTGCCCTCTGGCAAGACTTGTCACCCCTGGAGCCTCCACTTCTTTATTTAAAAGGGATCATTAGCATCTATTCTGTCTGCCTCCAGGTATCTTTGTGGAGGCTAAATGAGATAGTAGGTGGAAATAAGACTTCAAAGTGGAAAAAAAAATCACTGGGCAACAGTTTGTTATTGGACCAAAGTAAAAAATTTGGTATGGGGCTTGCCTAGCACCCACAAGGCTATTACCAACACCAAAAGGGGGAGAGAGAGAGAGAGAGAGAGAAAGAGAGAGAGAGAGAGAGAGAGAAAGGGAGGAAGGGAGGAAGGAAATCTGGTGTCAGTTCAGTGAATGAATAAATGATTTTACCAGCCCTCCTGCAGATTGGCTCTGAAGGACAAATGGCTGTCTTCAGGCACACCTTACTGCTGTGTTCAAGGGCCCAGTAAGACTGTATCTTTGGCCATACTCCACACCCCTGCCCCTTTAAGTTATTTTGCATCTGGTTTTATGTGAACCTCCAAGGCTGATTTAATAATCATTTATTAATGTCTTTTGGAGACAAGCCTTCTGCTCAACTCTGTAGGGAGACAGAGATGAATTCGGAATGGTCTCTGCCCTAAGGGGCTCATGGGCTAGGAAAAGAAATGGTAGAAATGGTAATAATAATAGCATAAAAAATAATGACCACTAATTATTGAGCATTTACCATATGTCAGGTAGTCTGTTGAGATTTTGTGTACATTACTTCATTTAATCACTACCATTCTGTGAATTATGAAAACTACCGCTCCCGTTTTACATTGGGGAAAAAAGATTCAGACAGTTTAAATAACTCACCCCAAGCTCAACAACTCTGAAGTGATAGAGCTGGGCATGAGCCTGAGAAAAACCTGTGAATCCACATAAATCTATTCTAAGGTAGAAATGACTGTGTCCTCTAGTAGAGGGGACAGACAGGCCTGCCTGGGTTAGGGAAGGAGAGGGTGGTAAGGTTGGTGGCGTGGCTCATAATCATGGTTATGGCACTGGTGGGGAGGAGGATGGGAAGCAGGGCAATGATAATAATCCTCTGCTGTGTGCCAGGCCCTGACCTGGGTGCTTCCTACTATCTCATTTCATTCTCATAACAACTTTCCAATGTCAGGATTATCATCTCCATCTTACCCCTGAGGACTCAGCACTTTAGACAGAGGTGATGACGTCCTGGGGCACACATTCCCCTCTGCAGACACCATGTCCTACCCCACTCTTCCCAGACCTTTGGGCCAGGAGCATCTCAGAGATGCTCCATACGTACCTGTTGAAGTAATATTGACGAACTGGATCCCTGGGGCTTGAAACCCTAATCCCAGGAGACAAAAATAATGTCTTGAGAGCCAGGGATTTAGCTCAGTGGTTCCACCACTTACCGCGCAAGTGCAAGGTCCGAGTTCGATCCCAGGTAACAAAAAATAAAATAAAATAAAATAATGTCTTGAATAAGTATATGTGTAACCATTATTTAAATCTATCTGGTGGTGCTGTGATTACTAAAATACAAGTTAATTGCAAAGCACTATGTTCCTTGTAGTTTTGTATTGTTGTCAAGACACTTTAAGTGTGCAGTTACCGTCAGGAGGAGTTTTGAGAAACATTTGCACACAAGAGGGGCCCGTGTCTTCCAATGCTGCCAGCGTCCCCCGGCCCACACTGCACTTTCACAGTGCTTTGCACAGTGTCTGTACCGTGACAATGTGAAGGAAGGAAGCCAGCCTTCAGACTAGGGACAAGAACCTGGGGCCTTGGTCCTGGATCTGCACTGCCTTTCTTACTACACATAGCCGGTGCTCTCAGTGACTTCATCTCCATGAGACCTGACACCAGCTTCCCAGAAAGCTGCCGGATGTGTTTGTGAATGAATGAGGATGAAGGAAAGAATGAGTGTGCTCAATGCTCAGGGAGCCCACGAGGGCCTTTCCCCAAGGAGCACATGAAAGTGAGACTCCAGGCCAAGCAGGCTGAGAATGCCTGCCGGTCTGCAGGGGTGGGTGAGCGACCTGGATGTCCACTCTGTGGGCAGGGTGCTGAGGTTGTGGCTGCATACTGGGCCTGGACCCTACCCTGCAGTCTCTGTGTTGGGGAAAGGGCTGTGCATTCCATGTGGGATGCATTTTTCAGACTCAAATGCAAGTTGACAGATGGTGGTGGATAATCTTCTCACTCCTCCTTTTCACAGGCCTCCCTCCGACACAGTTCTCGGAGCTTTTAGAAATCTCTGACACATCTCTACCATGACGGCACAGCTGATGTCTGACAGGTAAGCTCTCCCTAGTCGCCCATACCACAGGCACAGCCCAGAGGCTGTTGGCCATCCCTGGTGTCCAGGAGGTAGGTGGACATGACCTCAGCCTCAGGCAGCAGAATGGAGCCCCATACACCACTGAGGCTCTGGCAAGAAGCCACCCTGTGCCCAGTGTCCTGCAGCTGGCACCAGTGTCCGGTGTCTAGGACATGCTCATGGGAGAGCCCTGGAAGGAGAGCCAGGGAGCTGGCCCTGACGCCAGATCTCTGCCTCTGCCCCCCTGGAAAGTCTCAAGGGAACACCTGGCTGTCTGGGGCTCTATTTCCTTGTCTGTAAAGTGAGGCATTGGGACTCAGTGGGCAGAGCGGCAGTGAGGATGGCACTGCAGTTGCAGCCCTCTTCAAAAAATTCAATTCAATTCAAACTCCTGTTCAGTTGCTCCTGGGGCCTCACTCTGACAGACAGCACTGGGCCTGGTGCATATGTGCTTGTGTGTGCACTTGTGGGAGGGGCATACATCCCTTCTAGTGGACTCTGCTTGAAGCCAACTCTGACAGGAAGCCCTGCATAAGTTTCCAGTCCACTGGTGGAGACAGATGTGCAGACAGCCACAGTACAGCAAAACCTGTGAGGCATGGAGGGGTCCATTCTGTTTGGGGTTTAGTTGTGGGGTGGTTCAGGGAGTACTAGTAAAGGATACACTTGAACTGGGCTTTGAAGGATGAATAGAAGTTTATCAAGTACTTCCTCCTGTAGAAGAGGAGCCTTCTGGGCTAAAGTGACAGGAAATGCAAAGGGAGTGGCTGGGATGAGGGCCCGGGAGGTGTAGGTGGGGGTGAGGCTGGGAGGGCACAGGACTCTGAATGCTGTGCTGAGGAGCAGGCTTGAGTCCCGAATGAATATGAAAGGGAGGCGGTCAGCTCCGAGGCTCTGAAAGGCCCCGGACTGGGGAGAGACAGAGAAGGCGCTCGCCTTAGAGCCTGTTGAACTGCAGCAAGGGGCACAGGCCGCAGACCCTCACTAATGTGTCTGCAGCTGCTCTCTCAGGCTCAGAGCCCCACTGTGGATGGCTGCTCTGTCCACGTGACCCTGTGGCTTCAGCACTGGTGTTACACCCCTCTCAGCCTCTCTTCTCCTCCAACCTATAGCAAAGTGGCTCCTGCCCCAAAGTACTTTCTGTGTGGTGAAGTACCTTGCAATGTTAGAGTTTTACAGTTTCTTTTCTGGGTAGGACTCAGAACACTGTCATGTCGTTGTGCCAAGGAGTGTAGAAGAGTGGGCTCCAGAGCCAGCAAGAGTTGCCCTGAAGCCCTGTTGCTCTTCCTGTAGGGAGCAAGGGCCCTGTGAGCTTCAGGATCTCACTGATAAACACCTGCCTTCTTACTCCCAGGGTCAAACACAGGAGATGGTGTGCAGGGCTGCCTGGCCTGGTGTGCTGCAGTCTGCATTTCGGTTCTGTGCTCTTCTGCCAGCTCCTGTCCCTGCCATGCAGCAGGTGGCTAGAAAGACCCTTGGGGCTTTAGGTTGAAAAGGTGGCACATGCAGTTGCCACATGTGCCTTAACAAGAAGTGAGCCCAGTGGCCTTGACTTTCCTTGGAAAAGCTCATTCAGCTGGAACTCCACTCCAGGCACTGGGGAATTCTGGGGCCAGACAGCAATAGGATGGTCCCTTCCTCACATAAGCAAAGGAACAGAGAGAAGCAGCCAAGGCACTGAGAGCCACTCCGAAGTGGCTGTGATGGGTGTGGGGGGGTTACAAGGGGCCCAGGGATCAGTGGAGCCACTGAGACCAGCAAGGCTGCAGGCAGGGAGCAGAGGGAGGTCCTGGCAGAGGCACGTACAAGGCCTGACCATGGGAAACCTCCAGAGCACTGGGCCCGCAGAAGCTGGTGTTTCCAGTGACCTTCCCATGCAGAGCAGAATTCCAGGAAGCTTAGCACCTGGCTCTCATCAGCTCAGATGTCACCTGGAGCGTCACGTCCAAGACCGGCCCCCACAATTTAGGAGTAACTCCAGTGAGCTTCCAGGATAAGGGCTGAGAAGCAGCCTCTGATGCCAAGTCAGGCAGGAGGCTCTCAGACTGTGGACTGTGGCTGAGGACACAGGCCAGCTCTCAACTCTGGGGGAGCATGGAGATGGCCTTTGTGCTGGGGGTCGGGAGAGAAAGGATAAAAGTCAGGGTTAGGAGGGCCCCCAGTGCCTGCGCTGCGTGGCCACTGACGCTTGAACTGAGAAGTGCTTGAAGGGCTATGGGGCCGCAGAGGAGACAGCAGCTAGAGGGGAGGGCAAGGTGGGCACCCTAAAGAGGAAATCTGAGCCAGATGGTCACAATAAAGATAATCATGGCTAATGGTTACCGTGCACTTCTGGCATGCCAGGTACTTTTATAAGAGCTTTATATGGATTTACAGTCTGTTTGCACAACTCCAGTGAGGCAGGTGCTATTATCCCCCTCTTTCACTGCTGAGATCCCATGCACAGAGAGGGTGTGTAACTGGCCCAAGCACACACAACTAGCAAGTGGCTTAGCCTGGCTGAACCCAGGCAGTTGCCCCAGAGTCTAGCTCAAATGGCACTGAGTAGCCTCTCTCTATAAGCACTATAGGTCCCTTCAGGACTGGGGCTAAGTCTGCCTTGCTTTAATGCATAGTAGGTGCTCAGTAAAATTGACTTCACTAATGAGAATGCACAGATGCATGATAAATCGGGCCCTGAAGAGCTGGGAGGAGAAAATGGAGGTGGTGACAGGATTCTTAGGCAGAAGGGCAGCTGGAGCAAAAGGTTCAGGTCAGGGTACCTGGAGTTGCCACGATGCGCTACCAGGCCTGGGGTGCTGGCCAGCTGAGGGGGCTGCCTAAGGGACCTGGCCCCTTCTGGCCTTCCCCAGCCAGCCTGTCCCACTTCAGGAAAGGGAGGGGCACCTTCCCTTTGTGCCCCACATCCTAGCTTGTCACCTGTTCCCTCCAAGGCCCCCATGGGCAGATCTGGGCTCAGGACCACAAGCCACAGGAGGGAAAAATGTGGCCAAAGTGTCTCTGGGAAGCCAATCCAAACCTCGCCACTGTAGGGGCTGCTGTCTGGATGTTCCAGGCTTTAGGAGCAGGGTGTAGGTTTGGTTTTGTTTTGCTTTGCTTTTTCAAAGACCCTTTCTTCTTCAAACTCAGTGGACTGCAGAAGGAAAACTAGGGCTGGGATGTAGCTCGGTGGCTTCCCACTCGGGGATAAAGAGTAAATCAGTTCATATCTCTGCCTCAATTTCCATCTGCATAAGCTGGGTATGAAACAACTGCAGGAATAAATGGGGCAGAGCGAGGGAAACTCCAGTTCAGCACCAGCTCCCGGGCAAAGAAGTTTCTGGGCTGCTTTGCTTGTAGGCCTCAATTTTCTCCATAAAATGAGGGGTTGGAGAATGTTGCTCTTTAACACCAGCCAGCCATGCAAGTATGTTTACACACACATACGTACACTACAAGCCAAAAAGCAAACACAATTTAGTCGTTTTGTATATTTAATATAAATCTGCAATTTAGAGCCTCTTTTATTGTGTTCTTTTCTGATTATAAAAGTAATGCATATTTATTAAGAAAATTTTGCAGAGTACAGGCAAAGGAAAAATTCACCCACTATTTCACATCTCTGACTGAGCTCTTTACTGAAGCGCTATCCTTTCTCTGCTTATGTACATACACACATTTAAATATATATACACATATTCCTTGTTTAACGACCTACCTGTTTAACCACTGTTCAGACTTACAACCCATGGCTCGGCCTTACCACCCATCTTTTTTTTGTACAGTTCTTTACATCTTGTTTATGGAGCCTCAATGTCTTTTTGTACAGTACACCTTATTTATACAGTACTATAATTTTTGCTGATTATACAGTACATACTATAGCTTTATTTTTTTGTTCTACTGCATGTAATAGTTATGCAAATAAAAGCAAAGCGAAGTCATCAAATTGGAGTTTCCTTTGACAATTTCTTTGTTCTGAATATTGTAACGTATGTCCTATATACAATTCCTCATTTAGCAACCGATTCAATTATTGACCTAGTCGCAGGAATGGAACTTAGTTATTAAATGAGGAATATATATATGTATTATAGTCTGCATTCTGTTTTTTTAACCTAATCTGGGCAGAGCTGTCTGTCCCAGTGCCCACGAGGCACTGGGGATGCCAGATGCCAAGCTCCCCCACTCCTCCCTGGGCAGCTGCCTGGAGGCATCTGACCTTTGGATGTTCTGTGTCTCTGGCGGGTGCACATTTGACACTAATTTTAGCTCAGCCTTCTGGCCTTGGGGCCCTCACATAATGGACGCCTTATGTAGACAGCTGCCAACAGTGCAGGAAGAAGCGTTCCACCTTAGAACGTTCCTCGTTGCCCACCAGTGCTCTGCTGTCAGAGAACAGACCAGCTCCCTGTTCTTTCTCCTACTGGGAAGGGGCCCTTGTTGACGTTCATGGTCCAACAGGCTGCACCCAGGGCAGGTGGCCCACCCAACACACTTGGGGAACTGAGTCTCTGGACAGCACTGTGTTTTTATAGGATGGCTTTGGTTTGAGTTGGAACAGCTGAGAGAGACTTCCTGAGGACTTACTGGGGGTGTGGATGTCTGGAAGGTCCTGGGGTATGCGTCCTGAGCCTGCTGGAGCCTTCCCTTAATGCTTCACATTTGTTGGGGATATAAAAAAGGACAATGCCAGTTGACATTGTACTGATAGTAGCCCCAGATGTTTGGTGGCAGCATTTCCATTTTACAGAGGAGGAAACTGAAGCTGAGATGGGACAGTAATTTGCTATAGATCACACTGGCAGGGTCTCAAACAGGAACCAGGGTCTTTCTCCCTCCAAGTCTTTCCCTTCATCAGCACCCTGTGGGTGAGCAGCTCAGCCAGATTCATGTCCATTGGCTCCTTATATTTGGTATTGTTCATCCAAAATGGGAATACTTTAATTTCCACCTTAAAAAGAAGACATGCTTATTGAAAATAAATATACCTAGTTGAT